TAATTTTTATTTGTGCCATGAGAGATTTTAGTGCCTAATTTATCATCAAAGCTGCGTGGAACTTCATTTGATGAAATATAGTGAATAAATTGTTAGTCAAATCACTTTTAGAATCAAATATTTTCGTAAAATCGCCCAAATTACTGCATTTCGTCTTCCAAAGAAAAGGGGAAAACCATTTAGTTCTATAGTAACTGCAAGGGGAAAGAGGCCTGGACCCCGTGGTCAAAAACAAGCGGTAATGGCGAATTTTGGTGGTTAAAACTTCCACTTTAAAGATTTCTTTCAATATTCACTCTTTCCTGATTTACAATACTGTTTATATGAACGATAACAAGTGAAAAAAACAATTACGATACCGACAACATATCATGTGAAAATAATGCCACATTAAAATATAGTAGTAGAAATACTCTTCAAGTATCGTGTTAAAAACAAATTAGTAAAACTACTACTGTGCTACTTACCGGAGTCATGAAATGTTTCCTTTTTCGTCGCTATTTCAGCATCCGCAAACCACGGAAGCTTGCAGATTGTTTAATAAATATAATTTTAACAAGTGCTTATGTTAGGAAAATAGTTTTGATATTTTCTATAATCCCAATCGTGGTGGTCAAATCAGGGTGGGCGACAAAATTTTTATTTCATGAGCTCGCGTCTCACCGCTATTTTTGACCACCAAAATCCGCCATGTTTTTGACCACGCGGCCGCGCGCTAATAATTTATAGTAATTTTGTTGACGTTTCCCCTCCAGGTCTTATAGAACTCAATGGGGAAAACACGCTGCGGTTAATATAATGTTCATAATCAATTATTGTAAACAACGAAAACTTTACGAGATATGACCGTCTTGACTCAAAGCTAACCTTTTAATTGTGTAATATATTTTGAGCCACTTTGTCAGAAGTATTGCGCAACCATGTCAGGAGGTTTTATTCGTGTCTTCTGATTCGTCAAATTACTGTTTTGAGCCCTTTTCATGGGCTGACCGTTTCAGAAATGACTGGATTGTTGCCAATTGCGGTAAAAAACAGCTGCTGACCGTGTCAAAGACCATGTCATGCATGCTGGCTCATAGTCAAAGCCGCCGTAGTCGTTCGTAAGTCATCGCTAAGCTTTCGTACTATATAGGTTTGGAGTGATGACGTTTCCCAAAGTGGCACGAACTAAATTCACAATTGCTGGTGCTAATCAGCTCAGCTATGGCGATTACAAAATTGTGTGTTCTTGTTCAAATTAAACAGATATTTGATGATATTAATGATGGTATTAATTGATGTCTTCGCTCTCGGCTGCACTGATCTGCTCTCAAGTTCTCCCAGAGGTCTCCTCAGTTTTCATAAGCCTGTGCAAACACAGTAAACATCTTTTATTTCTTAAGTAATTCCCATATAAAAAGTTAAAATTTCACTTGTGAAACTGACTGTGTAAATGTTATCAGAGAAATTGAGGTTTCATATATGAAACTTGCAATTTATATGTGAGAGTGTAATTTCAGACATGAGCTGTTTTTCACATATGAAAAATTCACATGTAAAGAATTAAATGTTAAATGCGAAACTGACTATTCATATGAGGCATTAAAGTTTCACATGTGAAAGTGTAATTCACATGTGAATTGTTTTTCACATATGAAAAATTCACATGTGAAGAATTAAATGTTAAATGTGAAACTGACTTTTCATATGTGAAATTTAAGTTTCAGATGTGAAAATTTAATTTCATAAATGAAATGCATTCTTTCATATGTAAAAATGTCTATTTCATATATGAAACCAAACGTGATATTTTCGTATGGGGTAAGAAGCGAGATACAGGTTTTTGTGGAAACTACGACATAAAAGAAATGCCTAAAGTGTTGTTTGTTTTTGAAAAATTCTATGTAATTGACTGTAGTCTATAAATACCAGAGGGAGGTCGAGAATATTTTTCCGCAAAGCTGTTATTTCAACGGAAATATGTCCGTTCGCTGCAAATTTTTGCGTCCTTGCCCCAGTACACTTAGGCGCTCCAGTTATTATAGAGCTCAATAACGCTGAGTCGATTCCAGGCGGTTAGATAGTTATAGGATGTATAGCACCGGAGATAGTGATGCTCAAAATTTTGCCGGTCGGCTTTACGATCATATGCCTCGGTCGCTATGCCAACAATAACCTCATCAATCGAATGAAACTACTACGATCTGAAATATCGTAGTAGTTTCATTCGCTATAATCATTCATTGAGCTATAATCTGGTGGTGAGTTTTGATTTTAAGTTGTGTTTATCCAAAGTTACGAGACAATGAAAAATAGTTTATTGACAACCTACAGAGAACCGGGCGACGCCAAAGAGTTAAAAAAAAATAAGCTATATTAGCAAAATTTAGAACTTTCTTTCTAGCAGATCACAGGCGTCTGACGAAAAGCTTGATGCTAATTATCAGAGCTATTGTAAAATTAGAAAAAATAATTAATTGACAGCCTGGCTGGTAGAGACTGTGAAAATTTAGTGAAGAAATAGGAAATGGAAGCCACACACAAGACAAACATGTATCAGAGGACGACAATTGATCACGACAATTTTTGTGTTCACAGTAACGGGGAACAAAACTATTGACGGTCTTACATTAATCAAAATTGGGACATACAATGGATTGTTTAAGGGATGTTCCACGTATAAAAATTGTCACTACTTAACTTTGCATTAGAATATAGTCCCAAAATATGTTTATATTAACGTATCCATGTCCAAAGCATAGGGAATATCCAGTTGGACCTCTACGCAACTTGCTGTTGTATATTGAATTAGATTACTGGCTTCCGTTTGCCAGCTAAGCGCCCGACTAGTAAGATAGAGCAATCGACTGGCTGTCACTATGGTAATAACATCCGTAAAGAGAGATGCGTGGCACAAAAAAATCCAAAAGAGTGGCTCCACTGCATGTTCTATACTTTGTCCTTTTCAACACTTATTTGGACTCAAGGCAAAGGAGGCTACGAAAAAGTATATTTTGTGTTTCAGATTAATTAGAGGATGATTTTGAAAAATCACATGATTTATTCCGACATATATTTGTCAAAGACTTTCCATGGGAAGTCTCTAAAGTTCTCAGTGGTCCACCGAATGTTGTGTTCACCTGGAGGCATTAGGAGAAATTTGAAGGTCTATTTCGCGGTCGCAAGGGCAATTGAGAGCTTATATAGTTATATAGCTTTCTTTGTGTTTCAGTGACCGAAGATCTAAAGATTCAAATGATTCAAGTGTTCTTTGATCGCTAATCGTTTCTTGATGTATTAGAAGGCAAAATTGATGCAAAGGAAACACGGAATGGTTGTAAATTATTAGGGGATATGGCTCAACCATTCATCAGCAAAGATTGCATCATGAGATGTTGAAACATTATTATATTTTTAAAAAATGCGTCATGTGCACATTGGCAATATTGCTTCCACTCAGTCTTTATGCTCAGAATCTGTTGCTTTATTTAAAAATTTATCAGATGCAAAACTTGCTTTTATTAGTTGTTTAAAAATCAGCTAAGTAAATTGGAAAAATATTGAACATCATTGGCATTTGCTCGTGGTAATTTTCTCCGGTCAAAAATTTCGCTGCAAGTAAGACAAACTAGCGTATGTAGTAGCCACGAGACGTCTGTAGTTTTGCTAATTTATTTTGTGCTTTTTAGGGGTTGTTCACATGAGCCCTGTAACCGGGATTCAGCGATGCGTGAAATGATTTTGAGTCATTGAAAAGAGCAAAACTTTAAGCATAAAACTCACAACCTTTTCTTAAGCGTCATAAGTCATTTTATATGTTTGTAAATGATGATCGTCCAGGTTAATGAAGTCCTGAGAAGGACTGTTTTTGATGTTGTTGACTGATGTTTCGACAACCTTAGGGTAATTCTTCAGTCAAATGAGGAGGAACGTCAGGTTAGCCGTATTTATTATTCTGGTTCCACGTCATTGTATTGTGTGTACAGGAAATATGCAGGAAATGTGTATTGTCATTGTGGATTAGTGTGAAGTGGAATATTTTATTTTAGTTGTGATGTGTGATTTAGGTGTGACGTTTTAGCTGTAATGTACGCCGACCGCCACGCCTCCTATATCGGGGAAACTGGTGAACTTAAACATAAGACTTACTTGAGCACAAACGAGCTACTAAGAAACAAGACAAACTAATCACATTGCTGAACATCACCGAATCACAAAGCACAACATTGACTGGGACTCGGCAAAATGCATCACTTAGACAAAATTGACTATAGACAACGGCTTACATTAGAAAGTTGGTACCAACTTGGAACAAACCCCCTGAACAGATCAAGTAATTACCGGCACCTTACAAACGACTTATTCACAATACAAACAAACGATCAATAAAAACATTACACTTCAAACTAATTCACAATGACAATACACATTGACAATCCCACACATAACCAAAAAACGTCACACCTAAATCACACATCACAACTAAAACAAAATATTTCACTTCACACTAATCCACAATGACAATACACATTTCTGCATATTTCTGTACACACAATACAATGTGTAAGAACCAGACAATAAATACGGCTAACCTGACGTTTCTCCTCATTTGACTCTGAAGATGACTACCGCTAAGGTTGTCGAAACGTCGGTCAACAACATCAAAAACAGTCCTCTCAGGACTTCATTAACCTGACGATCATCATTTACAAACATATAACGATACTCCCGGTTCAAACCATTTACTTTATTACGACATTTGACGACAGAGCGAACAACTTGTTAACGACTACATACGTTTTGTAAGCAACGTCAGACGCATACGCCAACAACTCTGGTTCAACCACCGCTGCAAGGATTTTGGTCTCGTTCCACAGAACTTAGAATTAAGTCTCCGTTGAACACACAAGAGGCTATTCAGATTGTCAAATCCACCAGCAGACGACTGATACGAGCACGGATTAACGACTGTCACAGACGAATCAACTATTACATCAACAACAAGAACAAAGACTGAACAAACTGAAGGAACTCATACCAACGACAGTAAGTGATACTTTACTTTCTACCACAAACTATTGCAGAGAAACGAGCAAACAAGACAGAGACACAACACCAAATCAAACAACAACAAAACTTGAACGTTTAAAACAAACTAAAACACGTGCAAGACATAAACATGACGATAACTGGGTGAGGAATATTTCTTCCCGCCCATTAGACGAAACTGAAACGCGACTACTATCTTACGGACTAAAACATTCCATAACACCTAGACAATCCTGACTGAGACGATAGTATCAATGTCGAGGCTGTCCTAGCGTATCAAAGAGACTTGTCAGAGACAACAAAAGACGAGATCAGAAGCAGATAGCCTCCACTTTACAATCGTCCCTCTATACGTGACAAACAACTTGACAAAAGACGAACAACAAGCACTCAAACGACTAAAACACGACAACAACATCGTCATTTTACCAGCAGACAAAGGACGCGTGACTGTGGTCATGGACAGGAATGATTACTTTAACAAAATGGACGCACTTGTTAACGACAGACAAACGTACGAACAACCAAACGAGACCCAACACCATCACTAGTACGCAAACTTAACAGCAAGATCTCTATGAGAAAATCTAACATTATATCTGAACGCATTTACTATCGACCAGATGTTCAGTACCACGACTACCCAGACTATACGGACTACCAAAACTTCACAAACCACAAATACCCATGCGACCAATTGTATCATTCTGTGGTTCGCCTACCTACGAACTTTCAAAGTACTTTGACTAACATACTGCAAACTTTACAAACAAATCAAAACACAAGCTACAATCCACTGAAACTTTCATTAAAAACTGTGCACTATACAAATACCAGACAACTATATACTAGTGTCTTTTGATGTGAAATCACTGTTCACCAGTATTCCACTTAATCTGGCACTTACTTGTACAAAAACCCTCATTACAAACACCACGGACGTACTGCCATTACCGACAGAAGACATTATGGAGTTACTAGAGCTCTGCCTCACCTCGACTTACTTCCAATACAAAGGAACACACTACAAACAATTACATGGGACAGCAATGGCTCGCCTGTTTCTGTTGTAGTTGCTGAAATTGTAATGCAATCTATAGAGGAACGGGCACCATGACTTACAAACATGCACTACCTTTTGGTTTCTGCTACGTAGATGACACAATCACAGCACTACATGCAGACGAGATTGATGACTTCCATACTCACATCAACAAACAGAACAGCCACATACAATTTACAAAGATGTCGAAGAAAACGGAACTCTTCCTTTCTCGACTGTTTGGTAAAACATGACAATCAAAAACTAGGAACAACAGTTTATCGCAAGCCAACACATACTGACCGACTACTAGACCAATCATCTTACAACCCTACATCACACAAAGCCACCACAATCAGAACATTAACAAGACGTGCACAAATCACATGTGATTCACCGGACGCTCTACAAAACGAAAACAACTATCTCAAACGTGTTTTGACAAAACAACTATAACTCTGACTTTATCAAACGCAACACTTACAAACCCAACGAACCCAACGAAACGAACAACTCAGTGACAACAGCAACGATACCTTACATCAAAGGTACGTCTGAGACTATCTCGCGTATCTTACGACCATACAACATACGTGTCGCACATAAACCAATCACAACATTACGACAAGTACTAACGAACATAAAGGACAAAGAACAACCCAACGAACGACAAGGTGCAGTTTACAAAATAAACTGTCTGACTGCCACGCCTCCTATATCGGGGAAACTGGCAGGAACTTAAACATAAGACTTACTGAGCACAAACGAGCTACTAAGAAACAAGACAAAACTAATCACATTGCCGAACATCACCGAATCACAAAGCACAACATTGACTGGGACTCGGCAAAATGCATCACTTACAGTACTGACTATAGACAACGGCTTACATTAGAAAGTTGGTATACCAACTTGGAACAAACCCCTGAACAGATCACAGCAATTACCGGCACCTTACAAACGACTTATTCACAATACAAACAAACGATCAACTAAAACATTACACTTCAAACTAATTCACAATGACAATACACAATTGACACCCACACATTACAACTAAAAACGTCACACCTAAATCACACATCACAACTAAAAATAAAATATTTCACTTCACACTAATCCACAATGACAATACACATTTCCTGCATATTTCCTGTACACACAATACAATGACGTAAGAACCAGACAATAAATACGGCTAACCTGACGTTTACTCCTCATTTGACTCTGAAGATGACTACCGCTAAGGTTGTCGAAACGTCGGTCAACAACATCAAAAACAGTCCTTCTCAGGACTTCATTAACCTGGACGATCATCATTTACAAACATATAACGATACTCCCGGGTTCAAACCATTTACTTTATAAGTCATTTTAGTTGTAATTTTGAAGTCAGTCTAAATTATTTGTTCTTATTTTAAAGGTTTTGTGAATTTGCAAAGCAGACAATAGAGAAATTGCTCAAATATTTTTTTGTTGTGAAGTATTTCATTTTTCCATTTGCCAAAGTGATTCAATGCTTCAGGGTTACAGGGCTCATGTGGGCAGCCCTTCGAAGTAGTTTGCTACCTCGTTTACGTTCATTGACTCTAATGAGTATAATACTATAACCATTGAGTTCTGTAAGACCTCAATTAGGTCTTATATAAGGTCTTATATAAGGTCTTACATAAGGTCTTATACAATCAGGTCTTATATAAGGTCTTATATAACTCAATGACTATAACTTTTTACCAGGCTCCTATCTTTCTCCTCTACGCGGTATTCAAGATGGCCAACTTTTCCTACTCTTCATTTGTCCGTCGATCTTTTCTGCTGAAAGAAAAGACACTGCTCCTTAGTTATGCTCGTCATTTCAGTTGTACGGTGTACGTAGTTTATTTCATAATCAAATAATACTCGCTAACTGTGTTTACACTTGGGATAAACTTTCTTTAGCGTTTTCTTGATTTTAAGTAAAAGCCTCATCAATGATTTTATTCATTTTGATGTTTTTTGTTCAGAAAACGCAGAAATCCTGATAATGATTCAAAACCGGCAAGCTCACATAGAGTACCATCCTCAATATTTCATGATGAACTTGTGAGGTATGATTTTTTACGTTGTTAAACAGAATATAAAGTACATTGAAACCAAAAGATAGTCCACACGATTTGTTTGATGCACTAGTGCTCAGATTCGTTAAGAATTGTATGGAGCTGTACTTGACCAATTTTCATAGAGTTTCACCCATCACTATCAGTTAAACTGACATGTTTAAATTTTGTGCTACCATTTTATGGCATGGGCTTGGAGGTTCTTGTATATAACATCTTCCCCTATTGTTCTGCGGCTGAGGAAATGAGAAAAGTGGATATAAAGACTTAGTGAGTTTTGCAGTACTGAAATGTGGTGACTTAAAAACAATCTCGCTTGCCCCGAGTAAGAGAATAATGGAATTTTCTTCATGTTGGAAGCTATGACGTAGCTTGCAAACCAAGAATCTCCTGCTTCCTGACCTCTAGCCTGTCTTACTATTACATGTTTAAACTCACACATAGTAATTATTTGCAAACTACAATACCATGCATGTTTCTTCACAAAATTAAGAGATTGATGTCTGTAGATGTCAAGTTATGTTAAGCAACAAGAAAATAAAGTAAATGGTTTGAATTCGGGAGTATCGTTACATGTTTGTAACATTTACAAACATGCAACAAGAAAAGTTGAAAATATGCACTACCACTTACCTTACTATATGGTTACAAACTATACCACTTACTTCGCTACTGCTAGGAGAGAAACAATTTTCTCCTTTTTCATTCTGGAAAATATTTACTTTTTTTGCACAATGTAGCAAGTTTGTCAACACAATGATGTATGATGGCAAAAAGTCAATTTCACAAAGAATAATGCTCAAGGTAGGCAATGTTTAAATTTTTATAGAACGAACTCTTATTACTGTCATATAGTAAAATATTTCTTTCTTTATTATTGAGATGTTTTCCTTCACTTTACCTAAACTCACATTCATTCCTACTGACTTATCTCTTTCTTACAGACATTTGAATGCATCAAGAAAAAACAACTTGTTTTGTAAGTCATCAATAATAAAGTGCATGGTATTCTAGGCAAATGATATTATAATTTATTGACAATCTTCTTTTTATCAAATCATGTAGAAAATCATCAACTAAAAAGACAGAGGAGATTCAAACTGATCCTGTGGCCATATTTCATGCAGCAATGTCAAATGCAAAGCCTGTTGTTGGTGTGCAATCCATCAAGAAAGCAGGAAAAACTTATCAGGTGAAGCTTTTCCCATTATTAATCTTGATAAATATTAATTTTAACTAACCAAATTTATTCGAAATGGCAGAAAAAAGTCATCAATTGAACTTTATCTAAAGTGCTAATTGCACTATTGATATTTATATGTTTTAGAAAATCCTTCTCTAAAACAAAAACTTCCATAACTTCTCTTTCGTTATTTTTAGATAAAAATAAAGACAAGTTGCCTCTCACTTCTTTTACTGAACTGAATATAACTGGATAGCTACCTCCTGTCAAAATTTGAACTCAGCAATTCAACTATCGATAGCCTTAGTAGTCTTTTCACATACTGTATAGGAAAGTTCATATTAGCAGTGAAATAAAGTGAGGTACTACAATTTGAAGGCCTTATAATTTCGCTTATTTTAGCCAAGGTAGCATTCCACCAGTCATACATGCAGTTCAATTGTAGGCTATTGAAAGATCTATATTTGCAGTGGGGGTGGGGTGGGGTGTGCTCAAATTCATTTATGCAAAGGAACTTAATTTGGCAAATCTTGCACATATGAACATGAGGCCCTTCCTGAATTATTGATCTTATTATGAGCCTGCAATCATTTATGTCAAGATGAGTCCCAGTGAGAAATCTATATTCTAATATAAATTTGGCCATTCCCGATTTCTAAGGAAATTTCCTTGCTCACTAAGCCTCAATAATTTAACTCAAATTACCAAACTCGGGACTAATCACAACTTTTTACAACTTGTGTGTGTATTTTATAGGTTCCTACGCCATTGACACCCAGCCGACAAAGATTTCTAGCAATGAAATGGCTCATTGCTGCAGCGCGAGACAAACCAGCTTCTAGAAATGCTAAAATGTACGAGAAACTTTGTCAGGAGCTACTGAATGCGTACAATAACGAGGTAAAAATGATCGTACATGAAGTATAGGTAGAAACGTCCATATAATTGGAGCTGGCAACATTTCACTGGACTATATCAATGATTGATTAATTACGTTAAAAGTCACTTGCGGATTGACTTTTCCCTCGTAAATATTCACCTTACTTCAGCTCACTTTCACCAGTCACTTATAGCACGACGCGACTGAATTTAAAAGGTTTTAAGCTGTTGGGGGTTAGAGGATCGTGAGCAGGAGGAACAGAAGCACCTGCAAGACCACCATCACTCCGAACAAAACGTATTAATAACTTGATTTCCAGCCAGTACGTCATCAATGTTTATAGAATAAAAACAATAAAACGCGCGCGCTGATTGGTCTAAAGCTGTGTTTGCATCAGCCTCTGCACACCGATCTGAGCTCAACCAATGAAATCAATCAAGCAAAACAATCATGAACGCACGTTACAAGAACATCAAAACGTTCGCATTAAATTTGTCTGTTTTGATTATTGTTATTTTATAAAAGAAATGATGTTTTCATGTTTGCATTCTTGAGCAGTGGCAATCCTCGACTTTACTTCGGGCTTGAACTGATCAGCTCTCGAGTTCTCCTCGGTTGCCCTTGGTTGCATAAGCCTGAGCAAACACAGTAAACATCTTTTATTTCTTACGTAGAAACCAAAAAAGTAAGATGTGTTATTGCCTTGTCAAACGAACTAACAGTATATAGCTAGCTGCGCAGCTAAGCCTGATATTCAGATTTCTATGCCGCTGTTGCCGCACCGTTTTGGGTTTCGTCGTTGCTAACGGCCTGCTCGCAGGCTAGCCACAAAATATTTTTTTCTGATATTGTGCTCTTGCTTTCAAAAAGGAAATATGTGCTACGTGGGGGAGAATGGTACTAAATGTCGCATGCAACTTTACAATGAGCTAAAAGTGATTTTCGATCACTGATAAACAGGCCTTCCCTAGAACGTTAATTGGCGCGGGGGGTGTTTTATTATTCAGTTGTGCTCAAAATATTTCTTTCGGAAGCAATTTACCGAAGGTGTTAAGCAAAAATGTACACCCCCGGCCAAATCAACCATTCTCTTTTGATAAATTATACTTTGGTTGAGTCCTGCTTTGCACGAATAGAGAAATACCTAAGCGATAATTTAAACTGGAATTCACAATTTTTTCTCTTTCATTTAGGGAACTGTGGTGCAGAAAAAACGAGATCTTCACAAACTAGCTGAGAACAACCGAGCTTTCGCAAACTTCCGATGGTGGTAGGGACAAAGTTTTAGAAATAGCATAGTGGAAGAAAAATCTGTGTATTTTGTGAACCGTGGCCACTGGCCACCAACCGCCCCGCCCATTGGGGAGCGAAGAAAAACATTGACTGTCTAGGGTTTGCTTCTTTGGATTTTTGCCTTGACTGCTTTTGTGGCACAATGTAAAGTAAAAAATATTTAATTCGACTTTGTGGAATAGAAATATGCAGACATCGGTATTATTTCACTTCGGAAACTGACCTGACCTCGGTCTGAATGATTCTGTTCCTGGCTCAGCCTCATCCAAGAATTCCTAAAGGTCAAGCACTGGTCGAATTAAATTTGCATAATCATTTGTTGTCCACAAAAATAATGTCAGTCCTTACTAATCAAGCGACCGATTTGTTATGCGTCTATTGGAAAAGTGGAATTAGGAGGAGAAATTTTTTTCAAGTAGAGTTTTCAATTCGAGACTTCATCATATTATGTGGTTATAATAATTGAAATTTTTACATTCAATCACAGATAATTGTGAATAAAATACGATTTTCACAACAAGTTTATACTTGTGTTTTTCACAGATACACCTGGGGTGGATCGTACGAAACTGTGATCTAACGATATGAACTGGATAGTGATTTTTCTAGAAAACCTTTAAGTTATGATTCAAACCAAAGAAGTGCTGAAATGAAAAGTTTGATTAATGTATACCAAACTTGCTTTTCGAGATGAAAATTTACAACTATCCGGTCAACATCGTTAAGCGGGCTTGAAGAACTCGACCATATCCGCCATATTATTTTGTTCCTTTGCTCATAAATAAAATTTAAAAATTTCACTAATGTTAATGTAGTCTACGTAGATCACACTCGTTGAATTTCGAAAAGCTTTACATCTGTGTCGTACCATATTGGAGGGTCGATGTTTCTGAAGAAAACACAAACAATTGTCACTTTTTTTGAATGACTGAGAAGATATGGAGAAAAAGCTGAAATCTTCTTATAATTATAATTTTTTAAAGTTCGATCTCTTGTTCACTAGATTGGATTTTCATATCAGATCACTCCTGATGAAGAAACTAGACTGGAGTATTCAAGGACTCAAGTTTCAACATCAGACACTTCTGATGAAGACGCTAGACTGGAGTATATAAGAACTAAAGTTTCAACATCAGATCATTCCTGATGAAGACACTAGAATGGAGTATATAAAGACTAAAGTTTCAACATCAGATCACTCCTGATGAAGACACTAGACTAGAGTATATAAAGACTAAAGTTTCAACATCAGATCACTCCTGATGAAGACACTAGACTGGAGTATATAAGAACTAAAGATTCAACATCAGATCACTCCTGATTAAGACACTAGACTAGAGTATATAAAGACTAAAGTTTCAACATCAGATCACTCCTGATGAAGACACTAGACTGGAGTATATAAATACTCACGTTTCAACATCAGATCACTTTAGATGAAGACACTAGACTAGAGTATACAAGAACTAAAGTTTCAACGTCAGTTCACTCCTGATGAAGACATTCGCACATTTACCAATTATAGCATCAGATCACTCGCGAAACAGAAACTAAACTATGCAGTAAATAATATTTACATACAAAAGGATTAAAACCTTTTATTTCTACCTGAGATAAACAATTCCCCACATGTAGGTACGAAACCACATCTGTGTTCCACTGTTCGCCTTGAATAAAATTTAATGATAAGGTACAACAAGTTAGTAATACTTCATCGTGTGAAATTAAGAAAATCCAAATTCAAACAGGGTTCGTACGATGCTAATGTACAGCCACTTTTTTGCAAACGAGTGTTATGTTACAATTTCAAATATACTTTTGAAAATAAAGTTGTGCGTGCAATGACATGTTAAAAAAATCGATCAAAAAAATTTAAACTCATGCACTTTAAAAAGCCTTCAATTTTTTCAATACATAAAATTTACGGATATTAAAAGACATTCAAGCATGTATGAACACTGTTTGAAGAGTAAATTACCTGATATTTTCTGATAAGAATTGGGTGAGGTACAGGCAGCAAGCCGACCAAAGTACCATGTTGAAGAAATTTCAATATTTCCGATTCATCTGTTAGCCCTCTAAAGTTTAAAAGCATGGCAAAATTGCTCGTTTCGTCAAAGGACTTCGTAGAGAATGCATAACTAACAATTATACACGACAATTTTAAAGTTCTTTTATTTCGAATAAAAAATATCTCAGCGTGCAACCAGAGGCCAAACTGATCAAACATATTTAGCTAAGTTTAGAACAATTAACCCCAGAAAAAACGAGGTTTTTGGAAAAATGGCTGAAATCCACCGTATTATCAGGCCTCGAAATAACGGCCAGTCAAAGGACAATTGACGGGTCAAAAGCACTGATATATATGAAGACTGGATAACGCAACTTAATTCTGGTGCCTAGAAACTTTCGAAGCCAACTTTTGACTGCGGCGGCCATATTGGACTACCCACTTCTAGTATGTATTTTACAATGAATTTTTCTAGTAGTTTGTATTTTTGCCATTTTATATTTCTGAAATCATGCCAAATCGTTTATTATGACATTTAAGCAACGTGAAAAGATTCCATAAGAAATTTAGAGAACATGGGTTTTCGACCAATACCGTTCTATTACAGTCTTGTCATCATATTAATTCTTTTTTGTCCCAAGAGTAAAACATATGATCCAAAATAAATGCGAGAGTAGCAGTTTGTTATATAAAAAGTATATAACACACTGAAAAAGTGGATAGTCCAATATGGCCGCCACCCGGCTTCAAGTCAAGCACTAAGTTGCGTTATCCAGTCTTTATACATATCAGTGATCAAAAATGACTATTGACCGGAAATTTTTTAGCTTGCCTGTCATTTTGACCTATCACAATTCCAGATCTTCCACAACAATTATTAAACTGATTTTCTTTCAATGTTTTTTTGATTATTATTTGAAGCATTCAACGTCAACTATTGTAGAGAAAAACCGTGTTTACTTCCTAGTTATGTACTGGATGATGAGAATCAGTAGACTGAAAAATATTTTTTACGTTATCACTATCACCGAACACAATATGTTATTTTGAGCATTGCAGTATGTTCAAGGTAGAGTTTAGCAGGAACTTACAAAAAAGGCTTACATTTTTATTTGTAAAAACTTATATTTTTATTTATGCATGCGAAACGATTTTTTTATTTTTAGCAATCTGATTGGCTGCAGCAGTGGTTAAAAAGAGATACTTTTTTCGCAATGTATTTGTTTACGAAGTGGCGAAATCATTAGCAGAAGTAAACACAAACGCGGAAGGCATTACCGTGAGATTCATTCTTTAGGATATTCAAATATTAGTGCAGCTGTTAATGACAAAAAAAAACACCTAACCCTTCACTATAATGATACAAGTATGAAACTTTCTCAGACGAGATGACTCCGAACTTTTTTTTAACTACTGAAAACGTCATCAAACACGACATGCGCAGAACGCGTTGTAAATGTAAAATATGGGCTGGTCCTATATCAAAATTTTGTTTTGAGGCATGGTAAGACTATAAGAAAGTTTTACCCTTGTATCATTTAAGTGAAGAATTTTGTCATTAACAGCTGTACTATATGATTTAAAAGCGATGTAAACTGTTCAACGAGACAGCAAGTGTATTCAGATGGTAGTTATCACAGCGAAATGGAATTTTACTATTCAGACGAAGTGAAAATTTATAAAAAACAATTCAATTTTAGTCTCAACATCAAGCCGTATCGGCCATTTTACAACGCAAATTTCTTCGCCGCTCGAGCCGCTTTTGTAACCTCGTGCAAATACTTTTTCCGTACGGACGTCCCAGCCGCTAAAAAACCTACATTTATTACCGTAAATGACATAATAAACACCCAGAGCGTTTTATAAGTTTTAGCAGTTCGACGAAGGGCGTTAGATAAGTTCTAGCAGTCCAAAGAAGGGCATTAACCCGTCGCTTATCGTCACGTTACTAACTTTCATGTCCTATAGAAATTTATGTGAGTTTCAAAGAAAACAAGGAAGGAGTTCAACTTTAAAAACAGTCAAACTTTTTATTCAACATCATGTATTGAAACATTCATTGAGTTGGCAATAAATACAAAACGAAAAAGTAGGCAAAAAATCGTTTTAGGCAAAAGACCCAAAATTGAAAAATATGACTTACGCATGCAGCATGTACGTATAACGTGACAATATTTATCATTTCTATCACCTTGGTGTTAAGATTAAATATTCTTTCAAGATTTTGTATAATAATCTATAATAATCGTTAAATATTCTATAATACTGATGCTATCATAATGCTAACGTGATAAAGGTGTTTATTAGAGAGGTGTCTACTAGAGAGAGGCGTCTATAAGAGAAGCGTCTAATACAAACTCCCGCTTCAAGGGGGCGTTTATTGGACATTTAAGTTAGTCCCAAAACTGGAGGAGTGGACACAGAACATGATAGAAATGTTTTAGAGAACAATATAAATTTCCTACACTTACTTGTCGATGCAGATTTTTTCCACTTGAGGAACCAGAACTTGAAGCATTCTCATGATTGTCTGAAGTGGAAGCTTCTGTTTCCAAGATTGGATCTACGCAAAGAAATAAATTGAACAATATATTGCTTCGATGAATTAATCTTAAAGGTTTCAACTTCAAGGTTTCATCATGCAATATTAATTATCTGAGAAATTTTTTGAAAGTTTCCACAACATTCTGACTTTTAAATGTGCATGACAATAAAAATGACATAACCACATTTCAAAATCATTTACACTGTGTAATATAGTGTGTGGAGTATCAACTACTTTCTATGCCTCAAGATCATTTTTCACTTCGGGGAAATGTTCATGTAAATAACAATCAAAATTTATGTTTTCTTTACACAACATTTAACCCTTTGAAAAGTTCTCTTAATATGAACGACCCCTGACCATCCACAAAACCAATGGCGTATTATCTTTAAATTCTGAATACATAACCCATAATCCTTTACGAAACATAACTGAAGTATTATAAAACAGCACGAAAGTTATTGCATTCAAAAATACACTAAGATTTAGTAAAACTTTTAGCTATAATCTTCTGGTCGTGCAGAAACAAATTATTGGTCAAAATAAAATTGAATCTAGTTCCTTTAATGTAATAAAACCGATCATACCCAATCCGAAGTAGCTACGAAAGAACCCGAACTAGACACGGACTGTGATCTACCAATCACTTTTCGATAGGAGCTCTCCTTTGACAGGACGACTGACGGATTAGCTGCTGACCCGAAATCGTTATCACTTGAATCTGCGTCCACTCCAGTTCTGTGAACTTCTTCAACTGAAATGATATAATAACATATGTCGTAATTCTAGCTATTGGTCATGTAATAATAAATAAATGGGTGCAAATTTGGCCAAGCACGACCGCAGGCAAAGACCTGACCACCGTGAGTAGGAACATAGCTAGAAAGTTAATTAGGAAGGGTGGGACGTCTGTTCATTTATATATTCAGTTGCACCCGACTGATTTCTTTTGAAAGTGATTTGGCTTTATAAAGAACTCCGTCGGGAACAACTGAATACATGAATATACACTCCCCAATAAACGTCCTAGCCATGGCCCGGAAAGAGAGTGTTATTTAAACTGGCAAGATTAAGTACATAACTAAATTTTGATTTCATCACCAAAGACTTAAAAAAAGGAAATTACTATTAATGAAATTAAAGATCCGTGAGGCTATACTTAAATACCTACATAGCTGACTTTCCAAGTCCCTGTTATACTATGCCTAGTTATGTTACATCAAAGAGTTTGAATACATTAAAATGGAAATAAACCTTGTGCTTCGATTTCCGGTAGTTTATCCGCCACAGGTTTATCTTCACTAAAAACAGAACATCCATCAACATACAAGAACTTCAAACTTGTGTCTTCGATATCAGTGAATTTTGCTACGTATGTCAAAGTTGTTCAACTGTAGATCAAACATAACCTAGATTAGAGAATGTATACAATTCACTGCTTGAAGACTGTAGATCAAATATCACGTAGATTAGAGAGTGTATATAGTTCACTGCTTTAAGACTGTAGATCAAACATAACTTAGATTAGAGAATGTTTATACTTTACTGCTTTAAGACTGTAGATCAAACATAACCTAGATTAGAGAATGTTTATACTTCACTGCTTTAAGACTGTAGATCAAACATAACCTAGATTAGAGAATATATATACTTCACTGCTTTAAGACTGTAGATCAAATACCACGTAGATTAGAGAATGTATATACTTCACTGCTTTTAGAATTTAGTAACTCCAACCTAAATCTATGTACACTTAAATTTTTGGGTAGTATTTTTCAATGATCTATTTTCTTACAATCATGAACGAAACAATTTGGCTGAACAAATTCTTGGATCGACATGATTATGAAATTACACGACACAAACAGAAAGTTATAAAAACTAAATACTTAAAATTAAAAATATTTCAAGTCAATTAAGCTCCACAGTACCATTCGCAAAAACATGCCTTAGAGGAATTGGACAGTTGCTTGACGTTTCTGATTAGTCAATTACTTACTATTCAAATAATGTTTCTGATTGGTCAATTACTTACTATTCAAATAATGTTTCTGATTGGTAATTTATTTACTCTTCACTTAACGTTTCTGATTGGTCAATTGCTTAATCTTCACATGACGTTTCTGATTGGTTATATACTTACTCTTCTCTAGACGTTTCTGATTGGTCAATTACTTACTCTTCACTAGACGTTTCTGATTCGTTGCGCTTTCTTCGTGGTCTCTTCGCCGTACTAGGATCTGTCGAAAGATTCGCCAGCTAAATGGAAAATAAAAAAACTTGTCAAGAGAAAGAGGGTTAAGGCATAGAATAAGGAATATGAAGAATGGAGGCACCCATAATACTTTTTATCCACGCTTATCTTTTTACGTATATGTGATTACAATAACGACAGCAGTCAATTGGTTGTTTCTGACCAATAGCAAACGATCAAAAGAACAATCGAAGCCAGTAAAGTTATTAAATATACAACACTGAGTTGCAGAACGTGGTTGCTTATTCCTAATTATGCGGTTAGGGACAGTAAATAATAAGAATCGGAGCATAAAGCTGGGTTAAAGAAAGAAAAACAAAAAAATAACGAGAAAAAGGACCAAGCAAGGAAAAAAAATGGACGAATAGATTTCGCGGAAATTCATAATAATAAATAATAATATTAATAATAAAAGTAACGTTTCATTAAAAGCTACTGGCCACACACAAGAGCCCTTTAACAAACCAATCAGATGTTTCAAAGCCGATTTTCAAATAGTGAAAGGCATTCCTATCAGAGGAAATAGACAAAACAAAAAGCATTTTTGCGCATGCGTCATACCTGATGAAACATATTTCTTTTTCTAATTATGGCGTAGATCAAATGTGAATTACCTAAAAACAGATCATCCATTGTTAGAAAAAAAATGCTTGTGTAGGAGTAAATCAACATTTTTAATCAACTTTCTTCATAATTCCAATAAAATAAAGATTATTTCACATGCATTCATTGTTTGAATGAAAAATGTTGCAATTCTAAACTGTATATTTGAAGTCAAATCCGACTCATATGCAGCGGATATTTATCAAAGATTTAAAACGCAATTAAAACGCACAATACAATATGTATTAGATATAATTTAAATATTCGGAAAATACTTCATTTTGAAACCTAGTATGGTAGCCAGACTGCAAGCTTTAGTCCTGCAATTTGAATTTAAATCATTGTCCTTTTATTTTTTTGAATTCTTTTATCTTCACAGTGAATGAATAGACAAAAGAGTAAATAAGCGGATTAGCTACGCCACTGTTTGAATCAATTGATAAATGAATTATGTATGATCTATGTTTCAATAAATTCAATAAATAAAACAGACTTTGTCGTGGTGACAAATCTTAATATTGTCGTGAAAAGCGTAATTGCCGTTGGCGAATGGCCAAAAAAGTCATACAATTCTCATGCGTTTTGAAAACTGACAGAAACCAAAGAGTTCTGAAACCCAACTAACAGAAAAAACCCAAGAAACACCAAAGGCAAAACAAGAGATACATACAAGCTCTGTTTTGAATTAGAACAATAACTCGAAAGTTCTAAAAGAACTGTTCCAGGGTGTCGAAACGTTTTGCATTTAAGTAGAAAACTCATAAGGTGTCAACGTTTGCATAGAGTCCCAAAATCATAAATAAATCTTTTGGGTTAGTACTCTAACCCTCAAAACAGTGCTTTTCAGAACTCTTGAGTTTTCTACTACCTTCAGAAGTCTCGGGTGTAATTTTTGGCCATTCACTACGGCCATTGCGCTTTTCGAGACAAAAATTGAATGTTACCATCGAATTGATATTGTATGATGTTGTTGAAGATTTCCAATAGAAAAAATACTAAATGATGATTGGTCGCTCCGGCAAATAAAAACCATGGTGTGGAAAAGGCCTGCCAAGAAAAAACATTCTAAACAATTCGGAAAAATACGGGGACATGCTTCAGTAGCGCCGCCAGAGTATTAATTGAGGGGAGGGGAATATATTTATAAATGCATGCTATAATCTTCTGAAAACCATAAATTTCTAAGGAACGTAATATAGTATATCCTGCATGTATGAATAATTGTCCTTCCCCCCCACCCCAAGAAAAATCGTTCTGACTGCGCTACAGACATTCTTTGTTGACTTTGATGATTTTACCTCGAGTAAATGTAGAAGCTTGTTTGAAGTGACCATCGAGAGAGACTTTAAGTATGGAGAAACTAAAGAATAAATTTACTACAATGACATTGAGTTAAAGCTCCTTAAGTTATAAAGAGTGTTTAAAACACTTGCATCTCCCTATGATTTGCGGGTGGGGCAAATTGCAAATTTCAAGGACGAGATTCTTTTTGATCGCATCCAGGGCTTCCAGGGGATAAATTACTGCTACTGATCTCGAAATAAGACTGGGTTAAGCAACTCTATATTCGCAGTAAACAAATTTTTAAGCCATCGCCGCCATTATTAAGGGTGCAACTCATCGAAATATAAATTTGATTCAACAAACAAAACTATGAAAAACATAGTAACACATTGCCAAAAATCAAAAACATTGATCAAAAACAACCTTTGTGGCCATTGTAAAGAGAGTCAGGAAGAATAATCGACCGTATAAAAAAAATTTTTAAGCTGTTCTCATTCCAAATCACTCGTAAATTTTTAAGGATTGATTAGTTTGTGATGGTTTATGAGAATATCTTATCAGTTAGTATTTCTGAATAACGATTCCAACGATTCTAGGTATTTCCATGTAGTTGTGAGCTTTTTTCATAGTTTTTTCCAAACCACAGTACGGTCACCGATGACAAAAATCACTGTATAAAATTGCATATTTCATCATATTTCATCTTATTTTTAGATCTTCTATAAACTGATTAATCCCTCAGTAATGTTCATGTAGTTACATGTTTGAAAATTCATGAGTATTCTCGTATAAATCCACAATATATCTGCTGCTTATTTTCGTAAGTTGGTCCCTTAGTAATGGCGGCACTCCTTATTTTTTGTCTTCAACTTTTGTGATAGATGCTTGATTCAGTCCTTTTTTGAGATCAGTGATTACTGCAAATTCTAAACGTCGGGTAATTAGAATAAGTTGCAGTCTTTTCGACAAAATCATGTGTTACCGTATAGTAAATGACAATGTATATTACTTATACTTCTTTTTGGACATCTATCTAACTCCAGGTTTATCTAATATCGCTACTAACCAATCATAGTGCAACAATTGCAACTACTGACCAATCAGAACTGCGTGTAAAAATGCAGTTAGTAATCAATCAACATGCGTCGCATTAAAGTGCTTATATCTCTCTCAGGGAAATAGTCAATTCAGATAAAATTGACTATTTGAAGAACATTGGCAATATATTTTATAAGACGAAAATTTGATCTTCCTTGTTCTCCAATGTACTACACGTCCAGTAAAATAGACCCAGCCACAAAGCCTCACGATCCGACACGAAAAATGCAAACTTTGAGGCCCAAAAAGTGAAGGAAGATCAAATTTTCGTCTTATAAAACATATTGCAAATGTTTTTAAAATTGTCAACTCTGTTCAAATAGATAATTTCACTGAAGGTGACACGGCACTTTAATGCTCTTCATTAAATACGACATACCATTAACAACTATTGTCAAAAGACAATCGTAGAGCGGTTGAAGCCTTTGATGACCAGTCGTGATGATTTTATGAAATATCTAAAAATAACAAATTTAGTCAATATAAAAACTGACTCACGGAGAAACACATAAGTTTAGTTCTAATGATGTCAGTGCATCCACTTGGGTAATCTTTTTTCAAGGAAAACAAGTTTTCCCGCCAAAAGAAGTTTTTTGAAAAGAGACGATAAAGAGCTAATTAAAATTACCTCAACATCCGCATTTTCACCAGAAGATGTTCGCAAAAATACTCACTATGATAAGAAGATCCGCATGGGTTCCTGTAAATACAGGTATATCCATAGGTATCCTTACTGAATACGGTTTATTTAAACGCACACCTGTAATATAAAAAGCACGCCTGTAATATAATTTCTCGTTGAAGACGCCATTAAAGAGATGATTAGCTGAAGGAAACTGCAACTACAACGCTAATTGATAACGTTGAAGTCTACGGACTCGTGCAATTTTGATAGTCTTTGAAAAATTCACTCGTGCATGTTTTTCCCAAATTGCTCTCGAAACCATGCTATTACCTATACAAATTGCATTGTATTTATTTTTTTTCTCTGTGTTTCACATTTTTGCACTGGCATTTACGATAAATTGCACTGCTCTTAACCAATCAGAATTGAGAATTTTTTCATGTATATTATTGGGGAGAAAATCAGTCACGTATGACACAAACGTGACTACAACACATCAGTAGTGATGCACGACACGAAAGAACATGCGTAAAAGTGATTCTTTAAAATAGTATTATTATGCGTTGTTAATAGCACGAATCAAAGCGACAAAAAATAGAAATGTACGCGTTCTCTTGTGGTAAAAAAGTATTGAAAGACATATAAATTATATCCACTGAATGGTTTTTATTATAACAATATCCATAAACAAGTGAATGCCAAAGTTGGCGATGGCTATCTATTCATGAATAAGGAAACACAGCAGAAAATTTGTCTTTCCCTCCTTTAATGCTCCATATTTGCCGGCTTTTGGAAAACAAATGGCGGACGATAGTTAATTTTACTTCCGGTGTCCCAAATCTTTCGTATGTACGGCTCTGCGTGACACTGGTTTTCAGACAAAAGCAAAAAAAAGGCAAGCAAAACGACTAGGCAAGCTGATGATGTCAATCCGCCCTTCCTAGTTCAAATATATTTCATATAATCTAAACATAGCTTAATTTATATTCCAATGCAATTAAGTTTTCTCACCGAAATTACGCTCTCCACTGAGAAGCAGCAAAATAAAGACGCCAATGTGCATCAAGCCGAGTCGTGATTGGTCGGATCTCGCGTCATTCAAATGGTAGAGAATGGGTACCAGTACCTCCAACACATCACTGCTTTTTAAGACGAAGAACAGGAATTTCTACGGAAACGCGATTAATTAATTCAAAATAAACTTCAGGTAAAAAAACAAATAATACATGAAAGGAGAAGAAAGTCGCCTAAAAAAACAGTTTTATGTAAGGAAGAGTATCTTGTATACAAAAACATTTGTGAGAGAAACAACTTCATGTAAGGAAGAGTATCTTGTATACAACAAAACATTCGTGAGAAAAACAGCTTCATGTAAGGAAAAGTATGTTGTACGAAAAGAAAACACGTGACTTACTTTGTTTAGGTCGCACATTTTCCAAAACAAAACCAACAATTCCTGATGGAAATTAATTTTCTTCGTCGAGTTGGGAAGATATGTCTACATAAATACTGTGGTATGAGTTTTCGGGCACCAATGTTATCATACAGGATATTAGCAGAAAGATATTAACACAAGACAAAAAGAAAGTTCCCTTGCAACGAGATGTATTGTTATAAATTCTAAATGAATGAGTCCAGATAATCAAACAGAGCTCTAACAGTCATCGTGTAAACTGTAAAGCAGTTTAACTATTTTACCAGATAATTGAACAAAAACAGGGTAAACACAATAGGGATTTGAGAGACTGGCATCCATTCATATCGCACTAATAACAATTTATGTATGAGGAGATTTTTTGTGTGTGGTGTTTATGAATTTTAAAATACACGCATGAAAAAATACGAAACCTGTATGAGTGGATTATTCAACAGTTGTGCAAGACCATGAAGAATAAAATGGAAGTCCTAAAAATGCAGTTAAGTGTCAGTCTAATCAAGCAATAGCGTAATTCCTGAAATTATAGCTCCCAATTTGAAGTCTACAGCATGAAATTTGCAGTCCAGAGCATGCAATTAAATATCTTAAAAAGTTTAAAGCACGGACTCTAAGGGGCTGATTACACGAGCTCGGGTAGTCGAGATTCAGTGAAGCGTTAAATCATTTTGGAAATTGGAAAAAATTAAATACTTCACAACAAAAACTTTTTTGAGCAATTTCTCTATGCTCCGACTTTAAAAATTCACAAAACCTTTAAAATGAAAACAAATAATTTAGCCTGATTGGAAAATTACAACTAAAATGACTTATGACGCTTAAGAAAAGGTTGTGAGTTTTGCGCTTGAAGTCCTGACTCCTTTCAATGACTCAAAATCATTTCACACCTCGCTGAATCCCGGGTAGCCGGGATCATAAACACAACCACTTAAGCATAAAAATACTTAAAGTACATTTTTAAAATAGAATATCCAATGATACAATTCAGAACTCTCACAATACATTACAGAATACTTGCATATGCTTAATCTAAGGTGTGCAATCTGTAATCTACAAAATGGAAAAAGCTACGTGAAAAAAAAATAACAAGTTTTAAGCGGGGTTACCAACCTCCTCGCGATGAATGCGAGATAAATAGTTGCAAAAGAGATTTTCTTGCGAAACAAGCTGTCAAAAGAAAAATAAATGATGAATTTTTATAAAATACAAACAAAAAAAACGCGCGCACTGATTGGTCTAGAGCTGAGTTAGCATTAGCCAGAAATAAATAAATGTTTTTCGTGTTTGCTTTGGCTTATGCACATCTCAGAGATGTTTTTGTGAACTGTCAAGCATGTGCAATTCGACCTTTGGTTTCTAGTTTCTACTGATCAGCTTTTAAGTTCTCCCAAAGGTCTCCTCGGTTTGCATAAGCCTGTCCAAACCCAGTAAAATCTTTTATTTCCCAAATGCTAAACATGAACAATCAACTCAAGCAGACTATACTCCATACCTCAGGAGTCTGTTCGAGAACACCTTCATCCGTCGGGGTGTCCGTACCGGAAGTGCGTATTTGCTCACTGTTCTGATCAAGTAGAACAACTAACAGTTGTGAAGCAACTTCGGCCAAAGGTTCTTTTGAATCGTTAAACATCAAATGATTGTATCTAAACATTACGTAATTGTTGTTATTGATGGTGTAACTTATAAATCAGGGGGTGGTGGTGGCAATAGAAGTAGGATGCTCCCAAGAGAGTTGGACAGGAGGGGTGGCGAAAAAAAAAAATAACGAGGAAATTGGGTGTCGATAGTGGGCGTGAGTTATTTGAACGTTTGAAACTCTTTATGGTTATTGAACGAATAAATTTTTTTTAATGTCGATATTCATTGATGTTAACTTCATCATAGATATTTTCCCATCATAAATAATTCGTAATTTAAAAGTTAGTATTTTTCACATTAGCTGAAAACTGATTTGTGGATAAAAGTCGTTAACTTTCGTTTCGTTTAATAAACTTTAAATAAGACTTAAAAATGATTAGTTTATAGCAACCATCTCAAAAATTGTTGAACTTCACTTACGGAACACCATAGCCGACGGGGTCGTATGAGCACACGGTATTCAAAAGAGATGTGAACAGCGGCAAAGCGTGTCTAGAGGTGACGGAAATATGAAATTAAAATGTATCGTTTGCGGCATGGAAGCTCATGACGGTCTACGTTAGCCGAGAGGTAAGGGTTTCATTATGTATTCAAATAGCAACAATCTAAATAACTATTGTGAATTAAACTTGTATTGTGTACACGAACTTTACTGTGTTACAACATTTGGATAGAGTGCAATGGCCTACAATTGGTTAAATGAATGAGAGGACGGTTGGCTAGAAAGCTTTGTATGGTTTTACCGCAAATATTAAAATAAGATGAAAATCTATGGAACGAATGGAATTAAATCGATGGATTTCATACCTTCAAAGCATGCCAAACAAGGAAAAACTTTGTATCAGAAAAAAACACATTTTGTTTACATTTCAAGTCAGTCAAAATGCATCAATATAAACAAATGCACAGATTGGTCTGATTTGAAATACTTCCTTATTTCGCATGTTAATTTGAGGATGAAAACTATGAAAAGAGCGTTTAAACCAGTAGTATGAAGGAGTGTTGGTTTGACACGACGTGTTAATGTTTGTTTGACACGTCGTGTTAATGTTCGTTTGAAACGTCGTGTAATGTTTGTTTGACAGGTTGTGTAATATTTGTTTAACACGTCGTGTAATGTTTGTTTGACACATGTGTAATGTTTGTTTGACACGTTGTGTTATTTTCATTCATTTTGGGATGCAACAAGCAAAATACATTTAGGTGGAATTCACTTTGTAATCATAAGTTGCTCAGAAGGGTAGTTGACATGCTTCTGCTGGTCTGAAGGCGGCGAATTATGACAACACGACATTCACATACCGATTCTCAGATGAAGAAAAATGAGACAACCATTTATTTGGAGCTGCCTGAATGTCAGCTGAAAAAAGAAAGTATCTTGGAACGTTGAAAACAACCACTCCCAAAGAACACGACAAAGAAATAAATTCATCTTACATGTAGGATTGAGGTACATGGATTCAGAAAACACGTTAATAAAAGCTTTAATATGGCGACCCTGTTCAGGTCGTACTGCGGAACATGAGACGGTGAAATGCTAAAACCAACACCAGCTTCCCTATAGAACAACACATGAGTATCACCGTGGTGATATATCGCTCAAATGCATCCCAAAGCTACGAATTTTTTTGAATAGATATAAAATCGGGTGGGAAACTGGGATACTTGGGCATACGCATATTCTATAACGAATTTTCCTAGTTAAGGGTACGAGGGGGATGTGCACAACTTCAAAATTTTATAATTGAAAACTGCGCATCTTGCTAATGCCATAATTTTTTCAAAATTTTTTTTTAATTTTCTGAATTTATTTACCTACTGAATTTATTTGTCTACCCATTGTATTAATTCTACAAAGCAACTTTCTCGAATACCAAGCATGCGCTTTTGCTAGACCGTTCTACCTAACATTGCATAAAGTACCACAAACAACTCGAGGGTGACGTCACCATCGACATAACTGCACACTGACGTAAACAATAATAGTCGTTTCAGCATAAAAAAATGATTGTTTTTTGTTAAATGCTTTTTTAAATCTTGTATTTGTCAAAATAAGTCTAAAAATCAAAAAGAAAATAACCGCTTCATTCTTGAACTGAACGTACCATATATATTCACAGCTATCGATGGTAGAAAGATCTTCGGGATTCTCCTAATCAAACAATTAAAAAAGCATTTGAAACGTCCAAAAGTTTAATAAATTCTCTTTTGAGATTTACTCACACAGCAACAATAGTGTTCAAAAAAGACTTCAGCTTACCGGTCCAATCCTTTTTGTAGCATGAACAGTAAAATCGGGACAAAAAAGAAGGTCCTACAGTAAAATCGACTCATGAAAGAGATTTTGAGCAGTTTAAAAGTTTTTAAAACAGGCTTAGTGCAAATTTATTTATAATACTTCAATGTACTTTATAAAAAAAGCAAAGACATCGCCTATTTTGGCAATTGGTAAAACACAGTATAGAGTGTTTACCTTGTAAGAGGCATTAAAGCATATAAAAGAACTCAAATGTACATGAAAGTCAATTATAATATAAAAACAAAAAAACGCGTCAGCTGATTAGCCAATAACTGTGTTTTATTAGCCTGTGCAAAACAGATCTGAGGTGAACAAGTTAAATCAATCAATCAATTAATGAATGAATGAATGAATAAATGAATGAATCAAAGAGAATTGGCACACAATCATGAAAACATTTCAGAGGAAAAAATAAGTTGAGCCTGATATTCGTATATGCATGTTATAATCCTTAGAAAACAATAGAGTTCAAAGGAACTTGACACTGCATAACATGCAAAGAACCCCCATCACCAAATTGTCAATCTTCTTACGCCTGTGACTTCTTCAACGAAAATTTTCCAGACTTAGTTACATTTGTAAGCCTTACTCTAAACTACAACATGCTGTTTCGGAGTTTGTATTTCTGCAAATGTTTTTATTTCAAGACTTAACAGATTTCCCCGCCATTTGTTATTGTGCATGGCCACTCTAACGATACAGATGATGAAAAATTTATGTTATCCGGGTACTTACAGCCAAAGCATTTAACAGAGATTGAGCCAAAGGTGGTGATGACTCTGTGTTCTAAATCAATTGACGAGGAAATTGTTTAGTACGATGTTTCTTTTTAAAGCAATCACATAAATTATTTGAAACAAATTGTCAGGTCAGAGATAAATTGCTCCAATCAATTGTCTCAAAATTTTCATACACTGTAGCTACAAATGCTCAAAAGAAAGTCCTTACAACTCAATGATTAGCTACATTAGTGAGCCAAATCAGTGCTGCCACTCTGTGTATGCACATTTCACCAACCAAAACTTTATTCTTCCCTTACTTCCCCCTGCTATGATTTTCCTTGTTTTCCCCTACTTTTCCCCTACACAACAACATATCCACCTATTATATACCTACGTCGGGTCGGACCATTGAATTTTTTAGTCTGTTTTTAAAAAATACATACAAAAAAGGGTTTATCGAAAACTAAGAACATCAAGACGACAAAGTTAGAATTTGGCATAGGAAGTAATGGAAATGCAGGTTGTGCAATTGACACATTGAGTTTATTCTAAGTTGCTGATCTTCTATAGCCATATATGGTTACAAATTGTGCCAAAAGAAAGATTCTGTTACAATCACTAGCTAAATAGTGAGAACACAGGAAGAAAAGAGTATTTTGGGCAAAAATGAGGCTCATTTTTAAACGATTTTCTTTTCTCCCTACAATCCTCCCCAACATTTAACAGTTTTCCACGGAGATTTTCCCTACCACCTACAAACCACTAAATCCCCCTACTGTAGGGGATTTCCCCTACGAGTGGCAGCACTGAGCCAAATACGAATTTAACAACCGTGCCTGGAGGTTAATTTTGGCTTCTGGGATAAAAATAACGGCCGCTGACGGGCAAACTTTTTACTCTACGGGTCATTGACAGTTAGAATGACAAAAACGAGAATCCGTAGTGTCGCGAAAATATTTTCAGTGAATGACTGAAAGGCAAAAACTGATATTGAACGAGTTAAAATGAAGTAGCCCCATCATATTGACCGAGCACATTTCGGCCGGTATTTCGAGCCTAGCCGCCATCATGCAAATACATAGAAATGTTTATCTAAAGGCAGCATTTCAGTTGTAGCTATATGAAATCAAATGAGTCGGAGAAAAATAGTTTTTGGAGTTGACTTCGCCGCTTTTGGCTTCGATTTCTCAAAACAAAAAAAAAGAGAAAGTTTGCTATAGCAAATGACTCAAATTTTAAGTTCTTTGACAATCTACGTGGTATTTGCTAATCAGGGAGAATCTCGCTGCTTTTTCAAACACTATAAGTTTATTAGCTTACCATCTCGCGGCCAGTCAAGCCACCTGCATTGTCAAGGTCTGCCTGTTGTGAAAGAGTGAAACATTGATTATAGTGAATGTCTGTAGAGAAGACTCAACATTAAGAAAAAAATATGACAAAAACCACATATATGACCAGCATGGATGTTTGAATATGCTATGTAAAAATAACAGAATTAAATGAAATGTACTCACTACTTCTCCAGGGATTGTTGACCAAAAAAATCCTCTCCAGTCAGGATCCTCGAAGATATAAGGAATGACTCTTGTCAAGATATTCACACAGTTTAAAACTGAAAGAAATTCAAACAAAAACCGAATTAACACAGTGATAAGTGCACACAAAAAGGTACATTTCTAAGTATCCCTATATACCCATGAGTATCACTTCTAATCAACAACTCAAGTAAGTTCATCAGGATCAAGTTTAAGGTTTTATTGATGCGTGAACTTTACGTGAATCTTTGAAAATATTTTAATGTAACTTCATCCAAATAGATAAGTTCTTCAAGTCAGCAAAAAAAATTCTTGCCATATTGAATTTGAATGTAATATTACCAGTTCATTTGATTTTCTTACAAATCAACAGGAGGCGAATACATAGTGTTTCTTGCAATCTGATAGCCTATAGCAATGTGTGGAATTTTTCTATCTCAGACTGTAGTCTGTAGGAGTATGTAGAATTATACCATACAAAATCATGACCAGAAAACTTGCAGCTAAGCACTTGAACTAAGCGCTGTTTTCTTTTGTTTCACAAAGGAGGTAATCATTGAGGACTCAAGCTCCTTAGAAAAACAGTTTTTCATCAAGACCTTCCCAGCTGGTAAATATAACATAAATCTTACCAATAATGTGCTCTTGAGGACCTGTGCATGATGTACCTCTGGCATTCACAATTCTTTCAACACACTTGATAAAATAAGAAAATACATTTATCATTCATTATATGAAAAAGTGTAAGAGAATTTCATTTTTATATATGACTGGTGAAAAAAAGTATTAAGCACTTAAGGGTGTAAGCAAATAATGAATGCAAAAAAAGACTAATGCAACACAGTACTTATAATAAAACAACACAGCAAAAAATGCTTTTGTTTATTTTCAGGTTTCTATGAATGTATGGACATGCATAAATACTAAATATAACAGTATTGAGGTAGGTTGCATTAAAAACCCAAATGTTTCTATCCACTGTTTGATGACGACTTTCTCAAGCAGAGTAATAGAACTTTGCTGTAGTGGCGAATTGTATTGCCTCTACAGTTTGAATTGTAACTCTTGCTTTTAAAATATTTTTAATGGGATGAAAAATTATATCCATGTTTTGTATAACTACCCCAGTAGATGAGCTCACAAACATTTCATGAATAGCCAAGCAACCAGAACATGGGCACAGATACCCCTCCCCTCCATATGGGGTGTGTGTGTCCATGTGCAGCCAAAATATTATTCTCTATCATCAAATGCATAAACCACAGAAGTTGGTCCCAGGATGCAGACTATCCCCACTTTTTGTGGGGGTGTGAGCTGGTGATTAGAACAAACACAATCCAGCTATTTCTATGATAAGAGCAGCCTTTACAATATGTTTAATAAGACAATGGCAACTTTGTACAAACTTCACTTAATGCTAGTTAAATTTTCAAATAATTTTTTTCTAATGAAACCATTTGCAGCCTTAATATAATGGAATCACACTTGTTGTCATTATGTATTGCCAACAGATGTATCAAATTTTGTCTGTTATCAGAAGATATACAATTATTAATTACAGAGAGTTTTCTACAGACAAAGTAAATAAATTAATTTTGAGTTGATATCTTCATACAAAAAATTGCACTAGTTTTTTTCAATGAAATAAACTTTCAAACTCTTTATTCAACTAGAACAAACACTGAAGAGAAGTAGTTTTTTTAACGTTTACTTTCATATTTCCATCAAAAACCAAATAGATTGCGCGAAATCTGGTTTTCGTAATTCACTTCGACAGCTGTCACTGCTCATAATCAATTTATTGCAATAATTTAAAAAGATTGAAAACATGAGTATTTCTTCAAGGAAAACATTCAATTCGTTTTCAAAACTAAAATCAAATCCCTCTACGGATGAAATTATTCTCAAAGAAGCACAAATACTGATGGTGTTGAGAAAGCGTTGCATTGTATACACGTGGCGTTTTACTATAGACTTATTTAGGATTTTCAAAACATTTTCCAAATATGTTCATACCTTGTACAAAAGTGTAGCAAGATTTGACGGGTTTTCATCTCTTAATGAACGAATCTCGGCTGCAGGGATAAGAGTGAATATATCGCTAACGGTTACGTTAGGATCCGTCCAAAATTGGGCCCAAAATGCTTCGTCGCCAGCCTCTAGAGCCTACAAACAAAAACAAAATATTAATACTAGTCGTCTATACTGTGTTGAACGTTTCGTTACATAAGAAAATTTCACCGTTTTTTTCGTCGTAAGTTGAACAACAGCCTTCCGAAAAGCAAGTTTCGTATCTGCATTACCCATTTTGTTGATTGCGAACGGTAATAAGATTAAAAACAAAGGGATATATGCAAAAGACAAACAGACACTTCTAAACAGAATCTCGCCGCCATTAATATTCAAGTTTCTTCAACAAAGAATACGTTCCGAGTGTTTACGAGGACGCACGGAACGGCCGCAGAACATTTAAAGTTCGCGGTGACTCAAGAGTGACTCAAGGCAATGTCAATAAAACTGCAGGCATGGGAGAGAAGCAGGAAAAGAGAAAAAGTACAAGGCAGATAGGTCTGATCTAAGGTACAATTTTTAAAAAAATTTAAATAACAAGTATAGATACAAATAATTAAAAGATAAGAGCGATATGCGATTCGTCGACGATCCTGATGATAAACTATTTTCTATAAAATTGTGCTTTAAACACGTATTAGAACAGTTACATCTAAAAGGCCATCTACATACGTATGATTTCTAAAATTCGTCAACAAAAATCACGTGCACAACCTGCTTCATTGAGTTTCGTACTTTTTTAACAATTTTTTCAGAGCGTCAAATGCACTGTCGCAGCGAAGCAAATCAAGATCAGGTAGCGCTTCGTCGTTGTTGTTTGTCTTTTCACCAGACTCAGCTAAGAACTCTCGCATTTCTTCGATAGCAAATCTCTTACCGTTGCTAGGTGTAGTCATACCACGTTTTAAAGTATCTTTCCCCTCGGAAAATTCCTCTTCTACTTCAACATCAACTTCGCCAACATCCATTAAACCTGGAATTAATTTTTTCTTTGAGCGCTCTCTCCTAATGCCGGTTATCTTTGTAGGTTTAGTATACAATTCAGATAAATCGGGCTCTAGTAATGAGGGCAACTTTTCAACATTCAAAGACGTTTTATCCTCTTTTCCATCATCCACACGGATCTCGTCGTACAAAGTTTCATCATGATACTCGTCAAATACGTTGTCGCTCACTTCACCATCGTTGGTGCTGCTATCACCTTCAGTTGAATGTGGTGCCAACTTTGTGAGGGTTGAAACAGAATTTTTATTATTGGCATCCCCACCATGTTCTTTATCAGTCCCTTCAGCGCTCGAATGTTTTTTTAAGTTCAATGCATCAGAGGTTCTAACCACGTCGTATTCGTTCACCGACTTTTCTTCTTTCCTTTCCACTGAATTTGACTTGTCTTCTATTGTACCTTCAAGTGGATTTGATCCTGAGAAAACAGATAGATCGAAAATAATATCATTGTTAGCTGAAATACAGGCGTACAGAAACCAGTCTTTATTTCGGATCTGTAGCTAGAACGTTAATTTGTGGGAAGGGTGGATTGCATATTTATATATCTATCTTGCCCTCATTGTGACCACAAAACATTTATGTTGTTGACTTCAACAACAGTAGATCCTGCTTGCCTTCATGTGAACTGCATAAAATTATTGGAAGTCATATTTCATACTGTTTTTCTTGTGGCACTAATGTCAATGATCCGCTATTTCTGAGCATGTAATGGGTGGTGATGTTTGATGATGGTGGCCGTGATTCTGTTGATGAAGGTGAATCTTTTGGCAAAGCTTGTGGTAAAAGTAATGGTGATTATGATTATAACCTAAGTGGTAATGGTGATGGGGATGGTAATGGGGATGACTGGTGATGGCGATCGTAATGGTAATGATGGTGATGGGGATGACTGGTGATGGTAATGGTAATGATGGTGATGGTGATGGAGATGACTGGTGATGGCGATGGTAATGGTAATGATGTTGATGATGATGACTGGTGGTGGCGATGGTAATGGTAATGATGGTGATGGGGATGACTGGTGATAGTAATGGTAATGATGGTGATGGTGATGGAGATGACTGGTGATGGCGATGGTAATGGTAATGATGGTGATGGTGATGACTGGTGGTGGCGATGGTAATGGTAATGAAGGTGATGGTGATGGGGATGACTGGTGATGGCGATGATAATGATAATGATGGTGATGGTGATGACTGGTGATAGAGATGGTGTTCGCGATCGTGATGAATCACTTTCAAAGGAAATTACTCGGGCACAACTGAATATATGAATAACCCCCCCTTTCCAATCAACGTCCCAGCTACGACCCGGCTTTCTTTTAAAACCATAATAAATAAATATTTGAAAAGAGTCTCGGGCATTGAAATAAATGGTATGAATCTGCGTGTTATTTTCGCTGTTAAGTTCGCTTTTGGCAAGATTTGCCCACTATAATGAAATTTAAGGCCATCATCAAACGTTTCGCCAAAGGCGCACTAAGCAGGAGGGAGCGTATGGGTGGCAGCAGTCCATAAATGATGAACAGACTGGGCATGTATGGCAACTTTCGACGGACATTCCTGGCAAACAATTATCATGCTCTTAGTGGTTATCAGGCCAAATTACCAACAACCTATCCATAAAACGTATAGTTCAGGGCTAAAAAGAACGGTCATTGAAGCGACAAAACCGGCCAAAAATGCCTTTTGATCGGAAAGTTTTTCTTCTTTAAAATACTGAACGTCAGTTTTGTACAAAAAGCCGTTTTTGCTGTGGTAATTAGCTTTGTGCATGGTAAACTTGGAACAAAGGCTTTCGAATCCGTTCTCATAAAGTATTCTGCTAAGATTGTTTGGCTAATCCAACAAAACAAAAATTTGTGTTTCAGTTGGCAATGCCATGAATTTCACAAAGCACTTTAGACAATGTCAAAAATGTGTGGTGACGTCATAAACGCTTGATTTTGAAACGTTAAACATGAGCATAACTTGTCTCAAAAATCGTATTTTTTCTGTTTGAATTACGTACGTGTATTAGCGACAGGTTAAAAACCGTCTTTGACAAGACTTGAAATGAAGTTGAAATGTCATCTTCACCGAGCACGTTACGCTAAAATGAATGATGATCCACAGATGACATCTGGCTAGTTTTGCATAATAACACGTATTGTCCACTAGCATTGACCAGACGAAACGTCATAAGGTATAAAACAAAACCTAATACGAAAAAGGACATCTTGTAAAGTTAAATTCATGTTTATCAAACAAGACAATTAAAAGTGCAATATTTCGGTTTTATTTCAAAAGCATCATCAGTTCAAAACCACGGTGAGCCTTAATAATGGTCTTGAAATAAAACCGAAACATTACACTTTTAATTGTCTTGTTTGGTAACTCAAATTTAAGTTTACAAGATGTCCTTTTTCGGATTATGTTATATTGTATACATATAGTGAACTATCGTAGATGCTGCGAGTTTCCCTAAATTTGAATGTGGGCCCGCCCAGACGATACGTCATCAAAAATGTTCTCACCTGACATCAGAGGAGATCGAGCAGGTAACGGTGGCGGTTTCGTAGTCGCCAAATTTGCTTGTTCCTTAGGAGACACTGTGTCATATAAATCTGAGTCCCTCGTTGAGTCATAATTCGTGTTTTTCACAGTTTTATATTGCACAACATTGGAGATGTTTGGTTCCGCATATTCACTTTCCACTTGGCTACTTCGAGAGACATGACTAACACCTGTCGGCCAATTAACTGATTGATAATCGCTCGGAACTGGAGTCTGCCCATTTGCACTTGAAGTCGAAATAGTTGGCGTTTTAGGAGGAACGTCGTTGCTGGTTACAAGGTCATGATAAATACTTGGAACACTAGAGCCGCTTGTTTTTCTGAAAAGATGAATGAGTTGTTCAATGATACAGTCACACAGATGGTATTATAATGTTACACATGGTACAAACTTCAATGATAAAGATGGTACATACTTTAATGATACAGATGGTACATAATTAATGATAAAGATGGTACATACTTTAATGATAAAGATGGTACATACTTTAATGATACAGATGGTACATACTTTAATGATAAAGATGGTACATACTTTATTGATAAAGATGGTACATAGTTTAATGATAATGATGGTACATACTTTAATGATACAGATGGTATATACTTTAATGAAATAGATGGTACATACTTTAATGATACAGATGGTACATACTTTAATGATAAAGATGGTACATACTTTATTGATAAAGATGGTACATAGTTTAATGATACAGATGGTACATACTTTAATGATACAGATGGTACATACTTTAATGATAAAGATGGTACATACTTTAATGATATAGATGGTACATACTTTAATGATATAAGCAAGATAACAAAAAGAAATTCTCTCATTTAATAACAGATCGGGATTAACTATTTGGCTGAAGTGACATCTGTCACAGGCTTCACACTTTTAGGGGCCCTGCATGTCACAGCTTCACCCAGCTTTGATTTCTGAGTTTACAGTCAATCACTGTGAAGTTAAATGAGAGTCAAATTTTTAAGTTTATGCCTTAAAGTATACACTCGTTTCAAAACACTAGCATAAAATTCATTGAAGCCTGGTCTGTTGGGGAGGAAGGGGGCTAATCTGTTGTTCAAGTCAGTTCGAAAATAATATTTAACCATTCAGAGATTATACCACAACTGACCTCACAAAGCAACATGACTTCATGGAGCATGTACAACAGGGTACTTACACTTGGTTTTTCGCCATTTGAATACAATTTATCCATCCTTGAACTTCATGTTCTGTTTTCCCGGACTAAAGTGACATTGAAATTATGCCATTATACTCTACAAACAGATACATCAAAGGTCTTTTCCCCTCTTACCATATAATATGTTCTCTTTGGTGTTGTGGTTGTTATTTGGAATGCCTTGCTCTCATGTTTTAGCAACCCTATGGATTCCATCTGGGAAAAAATAAAATTGAAACATTATGTAATAATGTTCATGATATCAAGAAGATGGCAGCTACCCCTTATTTGAAATTCTCTCCCCCCCTGTCTATAAGGTGCAGGATAAATCATTGAACATTCAGCCACAGCTTCAAAGCTACCTCCCACCAAAACTTAAAGCCAACAATTTAAAAAATCTTAGTTTTTCCACATATTGCCTTAGTGTCATTACAACCATGACCGAAAATTGAGAGACTTATGCTTCCACACATGTATATACAGATTTGTCTACAAAGAATTTGACCTCCCATATATATTATATAGAAATTCTGTTCAATTTGCATGGTAGCATCAAAGCAAGCAACTTCACCATGCTTTGGTTATAAGCTTTGAGAATTTAAGTTAACGTTCTCAGTCCCAAGCTCATAAACTAATGAACCTTCTTCAATATGATTAACTTTCCTACCATGTTCAGATGTATGCAGCCCAACAGGTTTTCTGTCTAAAATGAATGAAAAGAAATGTCAGAATGCAGTAAAACGTTCACTGATATAAAATTTGAAAGAAATGTTATTTTACGTAAAGTTAAAAGAGAAAATTATGAGGATAAAGTGATTCTTGAAGACTCACATAAGATAATCAGTGCAGTAAAACTGTTTAAATTGCTCTCTAAACTAGGTAGAAGGCCTAACATCGAAATTTTTCTATCGAATATTTATCAACTTCATTAAATGTTGGATTTCATACCGAAATCTCTCGACATTTGTAATACTTTAATGTTACTCCATCAAATATAAAAAAGCGAGGTCGCCAACTATGCAAGTGAGTCTAAAAATATACAAAATATATATCATGGTGTGTCGAAAAATCATCCTCGGTGTGTCAAAAAATCAGCGTTAGTCATTTCCGTGTTTGAACACTTCAAATTTAACAAAACAAATGCAACGCGATAAAACTAACCAAAGACAAAAAAACCAAGGGTACGTTATAGTTTCCAAGCTAAGGGAAACAGAAATACATCGAAATACAAGTCAAACTAAACAGTGAAACTCCCAATAAGTAAATACTATTACACATAGGCATCCCAAATATTACACAGACGAAGTAAGGCTCACCTGGAGAAGGCCTTTGCCAGCTTTATTTAGGAACCCCTCCCGATAGAACTCCATGATTAGATGCACAATTCAAATTGACGAATGCTACGTGAGGCAGCATTTAATAGCAAGCATTGAACGGAAAAAACAAAAACCGCACTTTCGAGAGTAAAATAATCTGGGTTTTGTTTACACCGAAAGTGGCACTTAACACTTGATTGTTATTGACTTCCGCTAAACAGACGTGGACAAGAATCTAGACATTCCACCTGCCTGTTCAAGTGTGGGAGAGGCAAAAGGAAATCCATTTATTACACATCACAATAGCTTTACTCTAAATTTTTTTTCAAATTTCACCCAAAACCACGTAGTAATCTAGAAAAGTCAATGTTTATGGCCTTGTTCATACTTGCCCAAACCACCTTTTAGGGAAATCTAATCTTAAAGGTCACCTGAAATGCAAAATTCATATTTCTGTTTATTTGACATATAAAATGTATATATTGCGTAGACTATTCAAAGAAAATTTGAAAACAATCCCATGATTATTTTAAGAGATATCAACGTGTGAAGTTGTGTTTTTTTTGAATAGAAGTAAAAAATATTCCGTCGGTTTATCGTCGGAAAGTACTCGGCGTGACGTAATAGTTGCCATTGACATTTCGCGCGAGAAAGCGGCAAATATGAATTCATAAATAAAGTTTGATTTTGATCGGCTATTTTAAGATGGTTTACTGTGTGGCATTTAACTGCAAAAACGGTTCTTCTAAGAACCAATCTAAGGAGGAAAAAGTTGGGTTTTTTAGTTTCCCCGCTAAAAATCCTTTACGCCAAGCATGGGTCGATAAGGTGAAAAGGAAAGATTGGAATCCTTCGAAAAGGTCAAAGCTCTGTTCGGCACACTTTGAAGCCTGCTGTTTTGTCCAAAACCCCGGAGTCCTGAAATCTTTAGGATGGCGACCAACCAGGTTAAGGTTAAAGAAAGACGCAATACCAACGATCTTCGACTATTCGAGGTCGAAAGTTGGTGATAAACGGAAACCGGAGGCAACTAGAAACGCGTATGCAAAGCGCAGGAAATTAGAGGTAAAGTCTTGTAGCCAAGCAGTTTTTAATGTAATTATAGTGCATTACTTTAAAAAAACGCATATACAATTCAGATAATAAACGAAGCTCTTGAGAACTCCGTGGAAAACATTGAGCAGCCTGACGAGGACGAAAATACATCAAAAACATGTTCGTTTTTTTTGAGTGGAAGCATGGTGAACATCATCGCTAAATGCTCATGTGGCTTTCTTAATAATTGGAATAGTCAACCTACTCATAGTCAGATGCCATTGGGTAATCTCTTGCTATCTGCCAGTATTCTATTTAGTGGTAACAGCCCATCCAAAATCCTGCAATATTTTCAACAAGCAAATGTACATTTCATTACTGAAAGTTGCTACAACTATATACAAAGTGGATATCTTATTCCAAGTGTTTTGAATGTTTGGAAAAAGCACCAGACTATTATGATGACTGAGCGTCAGGGAAAGCAGGTTGTTATTGGGGGTGATGGACGATGTGATTCACCAGGCTATTGTGCAAAATATTGCTCATACAGCTGCATGGATTTAGAAAGCAATAAAATTCTAGACACACAATTAGTTCAGGTAACTAGCTCAATTCATTAGTTTATAGTATTGTATTCAAAACAGTATTGTATGCAAACACATTTTAGGAAATGTGTAATATGTACTTATACAACATGAATACAATGTGTGTAACTAAATCATGTGATATACACCAACATACATGCATACTTGCAGACATACATATCCCAAACACTGTATGATTTTATTTACATTAATACATCTATTACAGTCAAATGAAGTTGCAAATTCAGGGGCAATGGAATTGGAAGGACTGAAAAGATCTTTTAAACTTATTCAGTCACACAATCTTCAAGTGAGTCATCTTATCACAGACAGGCACAGACTGCAAGTAGTGGTGGTGATGAGAAACTACTTAAGGCTAAATGGCTATCATTGCTGAATCACATTTGCAACATTCATGATGGTCATAGTGAAATATTTCCAAAATGTGAGCATGGTACTCTTGAGCCTCGCTTATGGATAAAGAAAGGTACAAATTAATCCTAAATGCTCTGGTATAAGACATAATAGTTATTTACAGTAATTGATACTTTCTTTATCAACAAACTTCAATTGCCAGCCAATGCCACAATGTGGTGTTATTTGTCAACATATGACATAAATGGGCACCATAAAATTTTCTATCTTTTTTCCAAGGATCTAGAGCATTTACTGAATTGGCATCGATTGTTGAAAGCAGGTATCTCATGAAAGATATTGGGAAGCTCAGCCATGAGAAACAAACATCAGCTCTTGAAGGTTTTCATCGAGTTGTTATACTATATGCACCAAAGCATACACATTTCTTTTACAAGGCAATGCAAGCTAGGTAAACAAACAATAAACAATGTTGTTTTCATACTGAAAATGATTGCAAGGTGGCACACTAAAAAGTAAAATTTAATTTTTAGATTACTGATTGCTGCTCTCCATTTCAATGAAAATGGAAGTAAAGAACAAAGGCATAAAAGAAAATGGGGAATTAATGTGGAAAGTGTCTCACCCCAAATCAAGACAGTCATGTGGAGTCATCAAAGGTGTTAAAATTGATAGTACTTATGGTAAGGACAAGTTTTAGCACTCAAAAGCCAAATAATTGTTCTACTGATGGTACATTTCTTGCACTTCTCAGTTTAATTCTTCTCCCCCTGTTTTACAGACTATGTGAAACAACTAATGGAGGAAGTGATAAGGTGCAGACATGCTAATTCCAGTTTAAACCAAGCAATTGCAACAGAAAGACAACAAAAAATACCAGATCCAATGACTAGTAGAGTTGAAAAAGTTGATAAAGTAACAGCAGTGCAACAACATACTTCACGATTCAATCTTAACTAAACTGAAGTCTAACACTCACAGGTATTTATAAATGCTGTGCATATTCAAACCCTTTATATATGCCAGAAGGTGAAGGAAATGCTTTCCTTATTTCTTTAACAGCACAGGATGGTATAGGAAGTCCATATTTCTTGCCAAGCTTCCCATGTATCCATGCTGTCCATTGCCTATAGGCAGTGTAACGCAAAGTTCTGGGAAACAAAACAAAATCAAACATAAGCAAATTATTGTCGATATATGAGGAGATATCAAAAAAGCTGAAACTGACTCGGTTTCTGGAGCGTCTGGTATTGCCCCGTGATCGTGAACGATTACAACCATAGCTGTTCTAACGACTGTTTCGTTGATGCAGACCATGTGAAACTCTTGTTCTTCTGTGATGCATAAATGGTCACCTTGAATTTTAGGGTCTGTCTTCGGTTCCTCATGGCAACAAATGCTTTCCCGGCCGGTTGTCATCGCCACACAGTGTCCACACTCACACCTGCCATTAAAATAAAGAAAAGAATTTTATGACGCGATCTGAAATGTTAATCATGAAAAAAAGCAACGCACCAGTTTGTATTTCCAATCCTGTGAGTATATTCGTCAGATGAGCTGTCCGTTGACGACGGCGAAGACAGATCTTCGTCAGTTTCAACATTATTGCTACTAGCTAGCGGTTCAAACATGTAAGGCTGGACCTCCGTAGCAATATATTCGATGTCAAATTCGACTTCTTCCTCCGTTGAAGACATCGAGATAAACACGCATTAATAGTAGCAGCAACAACAAAAAGAAAATTGGCGAAATTTAATTTGTACTGCTGCTGGCTGCACTGAGCAAAAACATGCAATGGCAACTATTACGTCAAACTCGCCCCAGCTTGGGTAATTCAAATTCGCTCGCGCTATTTGAATTCGGCCTTCGGAAATCGTCAATGTCATGAATTCAGAAGACCATATCTCATAAAATATAAAACATTGGACTTTCAAATTTGGCGAATAGGCTAATCATTAGCTAAGCTTTCATATGAAGCAAAGTTATATCAAGCATTTCAGGTGACCTTTAACCCTTTCATTCCCAAATTATTAGCCGTGGCCAAAAAAATTTTTCTGCGCTATATACGCATAGAAACAATGTTAAATATGTCATGAATTTCATTGCTAGTCTAAAAATTTATATTTTCATGGAATTAAAATTTTGTTGCCAAATGGCAACATTGGGAGTATAGTGACATAGCTCTATACTTAATACTCATGTTTATTGATTGAAATTGAAGTGTTATAATTATTTTACCTGTATTAAAATCCATAAAATTAACTAAAAATACAATTGATCAGTGAGGCTCCCATTTACTCCAAGTAAAAGACAAAAATATGTACAAAATAGCAATACTACAAGTAAGAAATGTTTACAACTATAACAATTTTACTTTTTGTGATACACAATATGTATTGGCTTGCTGTCATACCACTTAACAATTGTGACACCTTTATCATTAGACTTGTTGTCATAGCTTCCTCGACCATCTTTCTTCATTTCTTTGTCTGATTTAAGTTGACAACCTGCCATTCGATCCTTGCGAATAGTGCCAACTGCCCATATGCCTCTTTCTTTTAAAATTTCTACCAACTGCACTGATGCAAACCAGTTTTCGAAATACATCTTGTAATCTTTGTGATCTGCCAAATTTTTGGTAAGTCTGAGTACAATATTGCTAGAGATACCAAGATCTCCTTCCAGTTTCATTGGCTTTCCAGTGTATATTTCAAAGTCATACATCATTCCGGATGCACCAGCCCGTCTCCATTTCATCATTTTGGATAGCACATTCCTTACCATCCTTCTGCCTTTGCATAAATATTACTTTGTTCAGTGCATTGTTTTATCATTTCAAAATCAATGAACATGTTGAATGTAGTTCTTCAGGTGGATCTGGGAATGTATCATTGAAATGGTTTTCGGGAAGAGGAACATCTTTCTTTTGCCATTTACACTTTTTTGTCTTGCATCACTTTGCTGGTTTAGATTGCCTTACAGGTTCATCATCATCTTCAATTTCACTCACTTCACTATCTTCATGAACTGCATGAATTTCAATGTTGTCTGGAAGGGCAACAAAATCTGTGTCCTCAGCAAGGGAAATATCTTCCACCTCGTCATCACCATCATCAATGTCGCTTACATCTGATATTTCACCATTAGGACAAAAAATGAGCTCTACTGCTTCAGTCAAATCCTTAACTCTCTTAAAAAAGAATAAAAACATTAGTTATAGAAAGAAAATGCTTAGTTTATATTCAATTAACAACATTTCTACAGTGACAACTTCCAGAGATTGATCTGCCCATTGTTGCCATATGGCAACAATATTATACATTAGAAAATCTATGTGGGCCGATCGCGCTTTTAATAAAATAATTGCTTAAATATGACGAGGACCAATAATTTAATCGAATAATATTTTTATATTTCTCAAAACTAAACATATTATATGTAAACTTACCTTTGAAAATGCGCAAAAATTTGCTGTCACTAACTTCCGTAGGACACCATGTGAAATAGTCAATTAAACTAATATAAAAACAAATTTACAAAGATTTGCCTCACATATCACATCACCCACATCAAAACCTAAAAACGCTTGCCTGATTTTTGTTTTTGAGCTTACTTCATGTAAGCTATGGAGCATAAAAGACAATGTTGCCATTTGGCATCATTGGGAATGAAAGGGTTAATACACTCTCCCCACACTGATTTAATTTTCACAATCAGATTCAGATTCAGATTAGAAAGATTAGAAATTGCATGTGCTGCAGCTGTAATGCTATCAAAGCGCGACTAAAAACACGATTTTTGGAATCATTGATGTTTAGCACGAATACTTTTCCAGATATGAAGACTTAATAATGCGTTTCTTCTTTCTAAAATCATTTACTACAAAGTCTATACTAACCGTTTAATGCCACCACATTATATACAGTAGTGGATAAACGCCTAGGACTGTAGCAAAGTACCAGAACTTTTCTCCCACATATTCATCCATGCTAACCTCATGCAAACACAAACGACATAAAAAAAATGAAATAAAAACTTCTCGATAATCTATAAAAAATTGATATCAACCCAATGTTTTAGCATATCAACACGTCATGATATGTCATTCTGTTGCTATGACGAATGCTTCTCTAAGTTGCTCAGTTGCTACAGCATTAGTAATAATGTCAAACTGTCAACCGGCTTAATTTAATTAACATCAATAACCGATCGAGATGTTTTGTAAAGATAAAAGTAAGAGTAAAAGAAAGAGGTACAGTATTTTTCGTTATACAAAGCAAGCAAGGTTAATAAATTTTACTATGTAGTATGTAGCATGAAACATTTGCACTTAAAAAATAAGTTTATTTCTTTTCTTGTGTCTTTCTTTTCGTAGTCGTCAAATTATTTTCGAGAATGCACATTTTCTAATTTTCATTACATGAAGCAAAGTTTTACACACAAGATACGCATGTCTGGCAGGCAATGATGAGCATTTTAGCCATTTTTGCTATTGACGTAAATGAGATTTTTGTTGGCCGTGCATGGAAAAATTGGAACTAGCTGGTTTAAATGCTGGCTTCAAATTTTTCGCGAGGATTAGACGTCCAGTTACACTTCCATTCAACGGATCCCTAATTTCCACCCTTGAACATTAATTTCATATAGACTAAGCAGTTGTCGATTGGATTTTTTAAGATCAAAGATAATCAAACAATTTGACTTGCTTAAACTGCAAATCAAGTATTTGGCTATCGGACTAAATTGGTAGATTTGGTAATGTAAGGAATAGTGTGGTACAACAAGAGAATTCTTGTGTAGCCGCTAAAAACGTGAAGAATATATGCGCATTACGAAACGTGCTTTTTGAGGGCTTATGCTATGCTTTCATCTGCCTTAAACAGCCGATGACATAAAGATCCTTGCTTTTAAAAATTCTTAAAATACCAAAAGAAAGCAAGGACAGAGAATGTAACAGTTAGGTTAACTTAAGTAACAAATCCTTCAATGGGGGATACTTAAATACCGACCTCGAGCAAGGACTCGAGCAAGGACTCGAGCTAGGACTCGAGCTAGAGTTTGACCTTCGACTCAATTATGGACTTAATTTTAGTCTCTTACTCGGACTTGCAAAACACTCACCTTCGTAGCTAGTGTTTCATGCGCTTTTCTTAATTCACCCATGTTTTTATGGCAAAAGATCGTCTTTGTTTTTAGGCATGTTGAAAAATTCTCGCCAAAGCTATTTCAATTACCGATTTTAAATGGCTTGATCACTGAGTCTGATCCAAAACATGGATCATTTAAGCAGATCACGCGTTTAGCATATGTTATTTTATAATTTCTAATAATTCATGTTAGTGATGTTACTAAATATGTTTTGAACTTCGCCTTCAATAGTATAGTCTCAGCTGCAATACTATATTTAAATTTGTAAAATAGAAGACCATATACCTGTTTTCTCTCATTTCTAACAATCTTTGCTTTGATAGTTCGTTTAAGTTATTCCTATTGATTTATCAAGAATCAAAAGAATCAGAACAGTGTAGAATAATTTCATAACTACAATAAAATGATGAAATTTGTATTTTGTTACGAGAATTCAGAATTTTGGTCTTCGACTTTTTACACGGCTAACTTTCATAGGCGCTCATAGCTACTACTTAACATCAAAATAATAATTTATTTTCTCTTTTTAGTGATATTAGATTGGCATCTATTAAACGTAATTTTTGAATTAAGTGTAAAGCAATTAGGAAAAGTTTTGTAAAACCCAAAAAGCAAAACAAAAAAACAAACAAGAACTTTTTGAGACCTCAGGTTCCCAACCGGTAAATAACATGTATTTATAAATATTTGAAATACACTCTCATCTAATTGGAATAAACAAAATTGCATATACTAATGATTTTTATATGTAAAGAGTAAAATTATACCTGGCTATTTTTTTATTGCTGTTTTTTTCTTTCTTCTTCTTTTAAAAAGCTATTACGTCTTGTAGTGATGTGCCTTCTGTAAGATCGTATGTATATTGATCAAGTCAAACGACAGATGAATGTTGATGTGTTATGAAATAATTGTAGTCTTGAAAAATCCTTTTGCTTTAGTAATTTGATAACCACATTACTGCGTGAGTGGATAGATTTTGGCAAGATTTACCTTATGTGAACTTCCATGATGTATGAATTTCTCATTCTAAACGTTTTTGCTCTTTTTTCTGTATGTTCTAAACAGCCCAGCTTCTCGGCCTTGAAATTTAGCATACTATATGTCATACATGAAGATAGCATTGTAGCTACTATTGTGTAATCACTAATTATGATTGCTAATGATTAGATTTCACGTATTTAACAGTACGTGGAAAACAGTAAGTGTACTTTGCCATGAAAATTGATGGTGTTCTTTTTTGATTAGAATTACTACCAGCATCGCAGCATCCGTATTGCCTTAAAATTGCAATTAACTGCCTGCTTTTATGTTAATCACATGATGCATGATATACATGTGTACAAAGATGGAAAAACTCGCCCAATCCCTTAGACTAAGTGTATACATTATTATATATCAATTCTTCCAATTGTGAGAATTTATTTTTCCTGTACTGTAAGTCTCATTGGTCGAGAGTGTGTCATGTGAGATTAAAGGAATAATTGCAAGAATAATTTTACGCTCTATGTTTTCCACATTCAGGGGATTTCATGTATAGTGCTGATATTTTTCAATCTTTATAATTGAATTTTTTCTGATTTTTGCATTCCCATGCAGGTATAGCCACAGTTGTTATTAGACTTAATATATTTTTTCTCCTTCCAAGACATTTTTTCTAATCAACTCGTTTATTGCGTCAACACGTACCTTATGATTGTAACTTATTCGCCATTTTTTCAGTGGAATGCTAAAATTGAAAAATGTTTCCAGTTACTAGTTTTGTAAGCTATATGTTGAGATGGCATTCGCATATTGATCAATTTTTAAGCCTAGAACTGGAAGAAAACGCTCAAAGCGACAATTAAAAAATAACGATGCTTGTATATTTTATTAAAGTTTAAAAATGTTTTTTTATTGCAGTTTAAGGTTTTTATGATAAAAACAATACATACCACAAACGAAAACTGCATTTTCAACAACCTGAGCTTTAAAACCATTCGATAAGGAGGTGATGGGGTGACCCCGTATCACAACTTATTTTAGAGAACGTTCGATAATCTGTGCCTCGGTGACGATTAAGGTTTGATTACAACCTTGCTTCTTCATCTAATTTTTCTTCTCGTTTTTGTTTTCTATCAAAAGTTCGTTAATTATTTCCATGCTTTATTTCATGTTTATTTGTCTCACCTGCATAATTTTTTTTCCTTCTTTCTTTTTTTTTGTTTTCAAATAAGACAAACATCTGTTAGTTTTAGGGTGACTGACAAAAAATTTGTCTTCAAGTTTTTTATAATGCTAACGTTTATTGACGCTCATGGCCTCAAATTATCATCAAAAGATTGTTTCGTTTTTTTACGTGACAATAGATCGGCAGTCAGGGTAAAAGTAATTTTAGAATTAAATCTAAAAAAATATCGTAAAAAAGGAAAGAAAAGTTTGTAAGACTAAAAATGAAAATTAAATAACCAAGAAAGAACTTTTCGAGTCTTCGGGAAAATAATATTTCATCTCTACATCGACCAGAAGGTAAATAACATGTATTTATTTCTCATTTGAGTGCAAACATGTTTCGATATTATCAGAATGTCATCTTCAGACAGAATGGTTAATGTTATTACATGGCATTCTGATAATTTGGAAACATGTTTGCGCTTGAAAAAAATTGTTTTT